ACAAAGGAAACTCTCAAACACTTGCTCGTGACAACAAAAACGGGAAGCAGCAATAACAACACTTTGAGGTAGATGCCTCATATAACGTTTCTTTGAGCTTAATTACTCAGTATATGAGTGATACTGAGCTAATAATAATGGGCCAAAAGTCTGCCTCGAGTTTGAAGCGATACTAACAAAGGTCTGTTTCTCTATCCTCTTCCAATAGCAGGTCTCTTCAGGAAGAACTGGATTAGCACAATATCTAAACCAAATAATAAAAGAAAGCATCCCCAAAATTAAAAATAGAATTATCATATGATCCAGCAATTTATTTGTGGGGATACACCCTAAAGGACTGAAAGCAGAGATTCAGATATTTGTACATCAATGTTCGTAGCAGCATTATTTACAATTGCCAAAAGGTGGAAATCCCCCAACTGTCTATCAACAGATAAATGGATAAACAACATATACATAAAATGGAATAATATTCAGACATCTAAAGGAAAGTTTAACATGCTGCAACATTAATAAACCTTGAAGACATTACAGTAAGTGAAATAAGCCAGTCATAAAAGGGCAAATACTGTATGATTCCATGTATATGAAGTACTTAAGAGTAGTTAAATTCATAGACAAGATGATTACTAGAATTAGTGGGGTGATCACATTATAAGTTATAAAAATGTTAAATCACTATATTGTAACCAATATAATATTATATACCAACTATACGTAAATAAAAAACTTTTTTATCCTCACCCAAGGACACTTTTTCCATTTTTTGTTCCGTTAGAGTGGGAGGGAGAGAGAAATATCGACGTGAAAGGGACACATCGAGTGGCTGCATCTTGCACGGCCCTGACCCAACTGGGGCCAGGGACAAACTGCAACTGAGGTACGTGCCCTTAGTGGGAACCGAACCTGGGTCTCTCTGGACTGCAGGCCGACACTCTAACCGCTGAGCCAAACTGGCCAGGGCTTTTAAAAAAGCAAATTAAATGCCAATGGTCTTTCAGATAAAAATGTTCCTAAGACAGAGAGTAGAATGAGGTGTCGGGGCTGGTGGGAGGGGACATGGGGAGTTACTGTTTAATGGGTACAGATTTCAGTTTTGCAAGATGAAAAATGTTCTGTGAATGATGGTGGTGATGGCTGCACAATGTGAATGTACTTACTGCCACTGAACTATCCACTTAAAATGGTTAAGATGATAAATGTTGTGATGTACATTTTATCCCAATTAAAAATAAAATTTTAAAAGCACCTTATAAACTCAACAAGTTTAAACTCAGAAGCTAAAAAGCCCAACTCCTTAAGCTACTCATGTCATTGAACAACTTCAAAACATTTCTCCAGGTCATCCATTAACCAACATAACCCAATGCATCAAAGGTAAGCTGCAATAAATTTAGAGACCAGACACTAATAGCATTCTGCAATTAAAAATATAAGCCAAAAGGAAGATATGAAAATAATATACAAGAATTAACACAGTGCAAAAAGCTAAGGGGTCATCTCTGAAAGAATTAAAAAAATAAACAGGACAGAAATTGTGTTATAAAAATATAAATCACTAGATACGAAACTGTTTATACCTAAATTAAAATCAAACTCAAGTTCAACCTAGCTAAGATGCCAATTAGCCAAAGTGCACCGAGAGAAAGAGCTCGAATCCTGACAAAGCCAGGATTTTGAAATCAGGATTTTGAAACCAAAGTCACCAGCCTCAGTTTGCTCTCTTTACACACAAGGAGATCACTACCATTATGGCCCATTAAAATCAGGCCTTTCTTAAGTGCCATGATAATTTATATTATGCCATTTGACAAGGTATCTATCATAACCTTTCTGACTCTAGATAAGTGTTCATTTCTAGTACAACAGGAAATAAAGCCTTCCTGGAAACATCTTGTGTGATTACTTGTTTAATACCTTGTTTATCCCACTAGACCTGTGCTATTCATATGACAGCCACTAGCCAAGGTAGGGATTTAAATTTATATTTAAATTAAAATGTCATTTTCTGTGTCATTCTAGCCTTATTTCAGGGGCTCAAATCACCAGGTGCGGCAAGCAGCTTCTGGGAAGTGTAGATACAGCACATTTCCATCACTGCGGGAGATTCTATCGAATAGCTCTGGAGCACATTACAGGGTACATGCTCTGAAGACAGGAATCTTTTGAACTTTTCACTGGTGTACACTTAGCCCCTCCCAGAGAGAGTGCCAAATGGGAAGCAATCAATAAACATGTGAAATAAGTATTCAACAGCCAATGTGGTCAATGGAGAGGACTAAAGGGAATTGAGTCCTGGAGCATGTATGAGAGGAGGGGGTCCACGGGACTACAGACTCCCAGAGATTTAGGGTCAAATTTAGGAAAGCTAAAACAAAACAAACTAAATTTCCAAAAGTAGTCAAGTATTCAACACTCCTCAAAAGTGGACCTTGCTACCCAAAGTGTGGTCAGTCCATGGGCCACTAGCACTCCACCACCTAGGAGCTTGTTAGAAATGTAGGATCTCTTGCCCTGGCTGATTTGGCTCAGCAGTTAGAGCGTCGGCCTGAGACCCGGGTTTGGTTTCCGCCAAGGGCACGTACCTCAGTTGCAGTTTGTCCCCAGCCCTGGTTGGGTTGTGTGGGAGGCAGCCATTCGATGTGTCCCTTTCATGTCGATGTTTCTCTCTCCTCTCTCTTCCTCCCACTCTATCTGAACAAAAAATGGAAAAATGTCCTTGGGTGAGGATTAAAAAAAAAAAAGAAAGAAATGTAGAATCTCAGCCTCTACCCAGTCCTACTGAATTAAAATCTGTATTTTAACAAAGCAGTTTTAATGAACATTAAGGTATGAGAAGCACTAGTCTAGTTCTTTCTCTACCCTTTCAGACTGAGTAAGTATCTCTCAAATAGCAAATTTGAAAAAAACACTATGTCCAACTGCATGTAAATCTACAATAACCTCAGTAGAGAAATTTGAATCATACCATGAGCTTCTTTTAACCCCTTCGCTGCCACTCTAACCCCAGTTCACTCCTACAATATCAGAAAAGATTAAACACATGTAACATCTTTGGGTTCACATATGCAAACACACACATGCTCACAACGTTATGAATAAAACAAGTGGTATTTAACACAGATAGAGGGCATCCCAGAAGAACATATTTATTTCCATTAAGAATTTTAAGATCTGTTTACTAATAACTGTTTAGTGGCAGGATTGAGTAATACATTACTATGGTAAACCCAAAGTTCTGGGTATGAGAAAGCTATTCTAATTATTCAATGAATCTACCTGAAACAAAATCTTTTACATATAATCTGGGTCTCACACATTTTTTTCAGGACTGTGTTGCTACACTGGTCACTTTCAATTGTTGTTGTTAAAAACTACAATTCTTCAAACTAATAAGCAGTCCACCAATGTAGTGTCAATGTACCCTGGACATAAAATTCAAGTTGTTTCTGATACTACTGACCTTTTTTGACCCCTTTATTACTCCATCTTAATAGACTCTTAGTAGGCAAGAGATTCTCCTGCTAGCTTTGAAGAAATAAGCTGCCAGGTTGTGTGAGGATCTATGAGAAGGCCACATGGCAAGAAACTATGGGAGGTTCTAAGAAGTGACACTGGGGTCAGCTGACAGCCACAAACCATGGGGACCTCAGTCTACCACAGCAAGGAACCACAAGGGCCTGGAACAGAACCCCAAGCTCTAGAAAGATGCACAGCTCCATCCAATAGCTTGATCGCTGCCCTGTGAGACTCTGAAGTCATGCTCAAATTCCTGACCCAAGGGAACTGTGAGATAAAAAAATGTTATTTTAAGCTGCTAAATTTGTAGTAATGTGTTACACAGTAATAGAAAACTTTGGTATTAGTTACTTGTAATCAGCAGACGCTTACTTAAGAACTGATTATTAGGATGAATGCTAATTCTTGGAATTGTACTAAGTCTTATTCTTCCAATATGGAAATACATTATCAAACTTTAACAATGCCAATGATCTCATATGGCCATTCACATTTCGGTTTGTGGAACTCCAGCGGATTTTCCAGTGTGGATTTCTAAATTTTCTGCTATGTTCTTATTACCATCCTTCTCTCCCTGAGCTGTATCTTCTACCCCTTAAATGTAGATGCTGCAGGCAGAATGCCTCCCAGCTGCCAAATAGCTGCTACTGCCTAAATTCCAACAACCCAAGGAAAAGCAATAGATAGAGCAGAGGTAATTTCCAAGTTCTGGCTAACAGAAAAGTATAGTATAAAAGCAAGAAGCATAGGCTTTTCACTGTTAATTTCTCCACCAGCCCTCTCCAAAATTGTTGGGTTATTAATGTGAACTAATATATTGGCAGGTATATAAAGTGATTGGGCAGTGGTCAAGAAAAATACTGTAATTCACTTAAGATAAAAATAAAGGCAAATGTATATATTTCAGAGAAAGCAGACATACTTCAATCAGGTAGAAATTATGTTATTCAGCATAAAATTTGGTAAAGAGAAGTGAACAAAATCTGTCATCAGGGTTAGTCATTTTTCAAAGGACAGCCCACACCAGCTTTGCCACACTCATGCGAAGTACCCTGTGTGACTCCTGACTCCTAGACACTTTCTCATCATTCCTTTGGTTTCCTAGGTATTTCAAACTCAGGAAGAAGAGCCCTGGACAGGTGACACAAGAAATCCATCACTGGAAACTGTGCCTAACTGTAAATGGAACTAGCGGCCTGGTTTACAGTGCTACAATGTGATTACCAACCAGACTCAGTGAGGTACATGTTCTGGAACAGCAAGGCTCAGGTCCAGACTCTGTTACTGAGGTAGGCAAAGGACTTCAAGAGACCCTGCGCACAGTCCTACTACTAATGTAGTATCTCTAAAACAGCTATGAAGTCAGAACATAGTATTTCCAAATCTCATTTAACATAATTAAATTTGCATATAAAAATAATCTTTATTTATAAAATGGCTAAAAATAATCTCCATAATTGAATGAATTATGTATTCCACTGGATCTAAGACACTGGTTGTAAAACACAACATTACTTTATGTATGTGTATGGAAAAAACTGTCAATTAAATTTGTCCCAATGTTAAATATTCATCGATTTTAAGATATATTCTGATTTCAGAGATGTCAAAAATGTGGAAAATGGTGCCTCTTAGAATCGATGAAATACACTTCAAAATGTAATCTTTGGATAATTATTCAAATAAAGTATTAAACACCGAGTCTCTTAAGTTGACATGTATTCATAATCAGTAGCACATTCTTGAAGCTACCAGTGTTGTGTCACTTCTCATTTGAAATGAAGAATGGGGTGGCACTTACATTAATTTCTAGCAGACAACTTACACAAACTTTAAAACTCATTCTCGTCTGAAAATCGTTTCATTTCACGTACAGAATCACAGAGCAAGAGATGAGCTAAAGGAGGCCTCGGTGAGCTAAGTGACAGAGTGTAGGGCTGTAAGGCTAGTAAGCAGCAGTCAAGGCTTGAAGCCAGGTGTCTAGGGCCCTGTTCTGTGTTCTCTTCTAGAACTCAGAAATCAAATGAGGCATTAGCATTCTTTGGTCCAACAATACAGAGAGGGTAAAACAATTAATAACAATCTCTGTCCATGGTCAAAGAGGCTGTTTTATGAAACAACTCTCTTCAGCTTCCCTGGAAGAAGACTGCTGATTGATAATTTGTTCAACTAATCAATTCAATGAAGATGGTTTCATACTATTAAACATGACCTAATTTCTCAAAAACAAATGCCTTCTTTGCTCTGAGAGGTGAAGACTGCAAAATATTACCTAATCAGCCACATGCCAAACACTAGCCTCACATCCTGCTGAGACCACTGGTTCTTTATGGAGGACTCTGGGAATTAGAGAATGTATCAAAACTTTTTAGCATTTGCTACACTCTGACCTAGACATTTTGATCCCCCAAAGCATGCTGAAAATCTGTTAATGCTCTGTTCTAACTGGTCTCTCCAGAACTGGCAATTATTCAAGAAAGTCAATAAATAATCCATCTTCTCTAAGAGTTAGTCCCTTTTGTCCTGGTTTTTCACAAGGTGATTCACAGGGGACTTGTCAGTATTCGCTGGAGAGAACTCATACACTAATGCATTTGAGTGAAATTGGTTGGAGACTTCTGCTGTGGGTTCCATCAAAGTATTTCTAGATGTCTCTGTTACAGAATTCCTCATTGTATCATTCATTTCAATCACTTCAAAATCCATTTCATTCCATTTTTCAGCATCATCTTCTTCATTCTCTTCCTCATAGTCATTTAGTCCAGAGCTAGAGAGCAAAGCTTTCTGGTCCTCACTTTTCCTGTGTTCTTTTTGCTGACGATTGAGAGGTAAGGTGGCTAATTTATACATCACCGGAAATAAAACAGCAGTGGCTACTGCTGCCCCCAAAGAGGTGTACAAAACTACAGGTAAATTGGGATATTTTCCTTGAAGAATTCCAATTACTGCAGGAATAGCCATTTCTCCCAGGGCAGCACCAACAACAAAAAATGCTGCCGCTTTTCCATGGATAGTCGTGTACTGCTCAATCCAAGAAACACCACTGGGAAACGTGGTTGCCATGGAGGCCCCATACACTGAAGTTGCTATCCATAGACAAATTGGGCTCTTATTAAAAAGCACCAGAAATAATGATGATATCAGGCTGCCAATGTTGCTCAACACAATCATGGTTCCAGGTTGTAAACATGTAGCAAAAAAGACTGCCAGGCCCCTGAAGGCTGCAAAGGTCCCCCAGAAGATGGAGTTCAGTCCAGCCGCTTGACTTTCTGTCATTCCAGCGTGGGTGATTGCAAATGAGAAAACGTAAGAGCCATATGTTACCTCAGCTCCAACATAAAAAAAGAAAAACAGGAAAAGGAGACAAAGAAGGGCGTTGTGATATTTAGCTCTTCGAGACCTCTGAGCAGATGCTTTTGCTTTTTCCCGCTGTGAGCTTTTCTTTAAAAACAGAGCAAAAAGAAAGATAGAAACTACAAATATGTAAGTACCGATAAGAGCATAAGCCCACAGTAAATTCATATTGTGAGGTACTCCAAGCAGAGATTCTGAGTCAGCTTCAGATGACTGGTTGAGTGCGGAATGGTGCAAGTCAGCCTCTGTGTGGTTTTCAGCAGACTCGGTTGTGCCCAGTGCCAATTTAGCCAGCAGTGGAGCCAAAAAGGCACCCAAGGCAAAACTGAAGTGTAAGGCCTGCATATGTGGGGCTCCTTTGTCACCCCAAATAGCCAAGATTAACACATTACCACCTACCAATGAAAGATGGGGAAAATTATTTAATCATGGTAACTTATTTAAAAAACAGTTCACTACTATCAGAAAGAAGATGAGACTACTTTACATGGCACAAGGATTATAATATTCTAAATTATCAAATGTTGCAACTAAGTCAATTCTATGATTAAGGAACTCAAACCCATCACCACCAAAGAGCTCTAAGCATTGTAACATCAAAAATGCACAAATGGAGTTCTACAAACTAGTAAACCATTACCTCCTTGAGCTAGACACGTTTGCTCAAGGCTTTTTATAATACAGTTCTAATACCAGGCTAACGGGTTTGGGAGGAAATATTCATATATTTATTTATAAATATTTTAAATATATATTATCATCAGATCATGGCCAACTTACCAACTCTTTCTGTAATGGCAACTGGTAGCCACTTAAGGAAAATTTTTTCATGTATACAGCAGATATAAAACACGTGCTCAGGAATTTGAAACTACAGGATTCTGCTGTGCCCATTACAGGAAACAAGGATACCATCTAGCACCTGCTTACACTAGCTATACACCTGGCATGGTGAAAGGCAAGAAGTATCAAATCTTGCATTTTCTTTTTTTTTATCTTCACCCAAGGACACTTTCCCATTTTTTGTTCAGATAGAGTGGGAGGGAGAGAGAGAGAGAGAGCAACATCGACGTGAAAGGGACATACTGAGTGGTTGCCACCCGCACGACCCAACCAGGGCTGGGGACAAACTGCAACGGAGGTACGTGCCCTTAGCGGGAACCGAACTCAGGTCTCTCTGGACCGCAGGCCGACATTCTAACTGCTGAGCCAAACCGGCCAGGGCGCATTTTCTTTCTCTCTCTTTCTTTTAATATATTTACAGATAAATTCCACCCTGCAATTTCACAACCAAACTAAGCCTAAAGTATAAAATACTTCTCTGACCTATCAAATAACAGTAGAGTGGGGAAGAGGGGAAAATGTTGGTTTTAGGGGTGAACAAATGTCATATATGTTATTTAGTAGGTTTTCACAACATATCAAGATAATGACATATGGAGAGGATCTCCTGCAGGAGGGCAGGAACTTTTGAGAGAAAAGGATGAGAAGGAACATAATATATAGCACAGGTTTCTCTTAGTTCAAAAGGCAGAGAGCATTTCAAATTAAAGAGCTGCTTCTATGATTTTCCAGCCAAATAATGGTTCCAAACTTGGTTTAACCTATTAACTCATCAACTCTTCCCACACTACAATGATAAAGTTCTATCCCAAAATAAAAACTCCCTCATCTGCACTGTAATTACCTACATGGGGAGAGGGAAATGATTCCCTATTTGGATACTATAAATCAATACTCTCTCACAGAACAAAATTCTTTAAATTCACTCTGTGGCTGGCTGCTCAAAAATAGGTACCCTAGTCCTAGCCGGTTTGCTCAGTGATTAGAGCGTCGGCCCTCAGATCAAAGTGCTGAAGGTTCGATTCCCAATCAAGGGCAGGTACCTGGGTTGCAGGTTCAACCCCTGGTGGGAGGCAACCAATCAATGTGTCTCCCTCACGGCAGAGTTTCTTTCTCTCCCCCTCCCTCCCTTCCACTCTTATCTAAAAATCAATGGAAAAATATCCTTGGGTGAGGATTAACAACAACAAAAATAGATACCCTATTTAACAAGAAGAGTAGTTGCCAGAAGGGTAGTTCTGACTGGTTACCCCATAACCAACTCAGGTCAATGTCTGCAAATGACAATTTAATATCATCTGCTCTGCTTTTTCTAGTAGAAAGTCCCTACTTCCAGAGAGGACACTGAAAGGCTCACTAACCTGTATCCAGAATGCCCATTGAAACACCAAAGACGGACATCATAACAACCAGTAGTACTGCTGTCTTACAAAATGGAACAAGATACAGACCAATTGTGGTAGCCAACAGTGACACCCCTGAGAAGAAAGGTAAAAGTTAGCTATAAAAAACAATGTTTGTGCCCTGGCCAGTTTGGTTCAGCGGTTAGAGCATTGGCCTGTGGTCCCGAGAGACCCGGGTTCGGTTCCCGCTAAGGGTGCGTACCTCGGTTGCAGTTTGTCCCCGGCCCCAGTTGGTCGTGTGGGTGGCAGCCACTCGATGTGTCCCTTTCATGTCGATGTTTCTCTCTCTCTCTCTGTTCCTCTCTCTCCCTCCCACTCTACCTGAACAAAAAATGGAAAAATGTCCTCAGGTGAGGATAAAAAAAAAACAATGTTTGTGCAGAGGCATGGATCAAATCAGCTTCTGAGAGGTTCGGGTTCAGCTTCTACAAATGGTTATTTCATTTAAAAGCTTTTATAATCTTTATGGACTATAAAAGTTATTCTAAAATGAACATACTTCCAGCTCTGCAAATAATCCAACTATAAATTATACCACAAGGCAAAGTTTGATAGCAAAACAGACAGCTCAAAAATTATTTATTTAAATGTTTCATTTTTTTTTTTTTTTTTAATCCTCACCCGAGGACATTTTTCCATTTTTCACTCAGAGCGGGAAGGAGAGAGAGGAAGAGAGAGAAACATCGATGTGAAAGGGACACATCAAGTGGCCGCCACCCACATGACCCAACCAGGGCCGGGGACAAACGGCAGCCAAGGTACATGCCCTTAGCGGGAACCAAACCCAGGTCTCTGTGGACCACAGGCTGACGCTCTAACCGCTGAGCCAAACCGGCCAGGGCTAAATGTTTCATTTTTAAGAACCTAAAGAGATTTTAGATCTGAGGTAAAGAAAGGGAAAAAAAAAGACAAAAAATAAAATGCAATTACTATAGTAGTATATAGTAGAAATTGATTAAATAAATTAGTTTGGGAAATTGGGAGGGAAATCAAAGAAGTATATTCTTTTAACACATTTGGAAATCAGAAGATTATTTATTTATTCAACAATAGTAAATTATTCTCCTTTTCTCCAAAGCAGTTTTATCACATTAATCTGAACTTTCTTTAAACATGTCAATTTACTTTAAAAAAAAAATAGTAAGTGCCCTGGCCAGTTTGGCTCAGCAGTTGGAGCGTTGGCCTGCAGACCAGAGAGTCCCGGGTTCCGTTCCTGCTAGGGGCACATACAAAAAAAAAAAAAAATAGTAAGTTAAAATCTTTGCCATCTACTTCAAGGGTGAGGTAGAGAGGTCTGGGGTCATCACTGACATGGGGCAGCAGGGACAAAAATGTAGCCTGTGTCATTTCACACACACCCCCCCCCCTCCCTGCCTCATTCTCAGCCAAGGGTTTAGCTTGGGCAGGTTCAAGGAACTCACTTTGATCTATGGTGACCCCAGATCTGCCCTAAACTCTGACAAGCAGAGCTCTTTTGGACTAGTATGTGATATAGGGGTGGTGCCTAAATTACAGTGACAGTTGGGAAAGCCAAGGATCTAAGGCTAAATCAGCAGAGTAGCCCAGTTCCCTGTAACTGCCAAGATGAACGCAGGCACCAGGGAAGCTGACTTCCACTGAGGATGCCTAACACTACCCACTTAAGTTGTCAACCACTATGCAAGCTAGTAGGTTTCAAATTTAAAAACAAATAGCAAATTCCCTGAAAGTCATAAAGAGGGTGAAATTAGTGTTTACTTACCCAAAAGTAGAAAAGGATTCATATTGTCAAAAAGAACTCCACCGATCACAGAACCACTCAAATATCCAAAGGCACGGCCCACAAAAATCATAGAAAGACTGCTGATATTACGGTTTACATTTGTTGCCAAATCTTGAAACGTGGGTCCCAAGATAGCGACACTCAATCCCTAAAATTTTTAAAGACAAAAGGTTTTATTTACAATCATTAAAATACTGTCTATCTAGTGGTAGCTTTTTTCACTGTTAAAAAAGAGAGGAGGGGATTTCAATGTAATGTACAGGACTAACTCCCACAGGAAAAACTTACCATGACAATGCTAGTACTCCTATGTCTGATGTGCCAATTCCTATTTATCTAGTTCTGACATGCCCAATTTTTTAAAAATTATTTAATTCTTTTGGCTTTTGCTACAATTGTTTCCTTTTTGAACATGCAAAAAAAAAAGACAATTTTGTACTAATAGTAAAATGTAACATTAAGATAATATTTGAAATAGTTTTGTATATTTTGAAATACACTACATGCACAAATAGATAACACAAGAATTTAGATGTTAAAATTTTTAATTATCAAACAATCAAAATATTATTCCCATTTTTTGATGTTAAAATAGACAACAATAAGTGGAATCTAACAAACAAACTGAACTAACAAGCAAAATAGATACAGACCCATAGATAGAGAGCAGGCTCACAAGGAGGGGTTTGGGGAGGAAGGAGGGGTTAAGCAAAAAACTAAAAAGAGAAAGAACTATGTACACGGACAACAGTGTAGTGATTGAGGGGGTGGGTAGAGGTGGAAGAAGATATAGGGGGGATAAATGGTAATGAAAAAATAAAATAAAGAGAAAAAATATATTTACTAATAGATCCCCAGCTACAGGTTGGGACCTCTTGTGCTAACATTTCCAGTTCAAAACACCAGAAAGACAATGGGAATGCAAAAACAGCAGTCAAATGAAGCCATTAGGTGAGAAGGAAGAAAGGAGAGGTGGGAAAAAAAACACAAAAAACAGCAGTATTTCTGGATGCACACGGGGTCCTTCCTTTGAATTATGGCAAATACATAAAACACAGAAATAAACAATTTAAACATATCTGAATCTATGTTTTTCTTCAAAGAAAATCCCACACCATCAGGAGTACAGGCTACAAGGCTTTCTTCAAGAATATTTCATACACATGTATACAATGAGTTTAGAAATAAAATTTTACTCAACATAAACAGTGCAGTGTTAGCAAGAAATAAGGGTTACTGTTGGCGTTTAGAGGAAATTCGTTGGACACTTTAAAAAGGTTTCTAGTTGGTCTACATGTCAAGAATAATTGTTTGCAGAATTATTTACAATAATCAAGATTTGGAAGCAGCCCATGTCCATCAGTAGATGAGTGGATAAAAAAAGCTGTGGTATTTACACAGTGGAATACTATTCCACCATAAAAAGAAGGAAATCTTATCCTTTGCTACAGCATGGATAGACCTGGAGAACATTATGCTAAGTGAAATCAACTAGTCAGAGAAAGACAAGTACCAGATGATTTCACTCATATGTGAAATCTAATGAACACAATGAAGTAACAAGCAAAATAGAGGCAGACTCATAAATAGAGAGCAGGTTGACAGCTGTGGTAGAAGACTGAGCTGGGGTGGGGTGGAGGGTTCGAGCATAAAAGAGAAAAAACTCACTGACATATAAAACAGCGTGGTGGTTGGGGGGGTGGAGGAGGGTACAGGAGGATAAATAGTGATGGAGACAGACTTGGGGTGGTAAACTCACAATACAGTGTACTGATGATATGTTGTAGAATTATGCACCTGCAACTTGTATAATAAATAAATTCAATAAGGGGGGGGGGGGACAATTTATTCTAAGTGCACTGCTCTGCTCTAAACGCTTGGGTGCGCCCCCTGCCCAAGCTGGAGCAGTCCCTAAAGACAGACGCTGAGGAAGCACCATGGAGGGAAGGCTGAGCCCCAGCCATAAACAAATTAGTCCCTGCCTTCAAAGCACTTACAGTAGTATCTGGCACACAGTCGGGGATCATGAAACGACTGCAAGAATTTTTCTTTTCTCAAATCAAAACACTCCAAGAATCAGTTATGGCTCCGAGAAAGGCGCTAGGTGATCAAATGTGACTCACCCACCCAACTACCCAGAATCCCAATATTCAAGACAAGTGATGAGGAGTAGGCTTCGGGAAATAAGGGAATCGCGGTAGGCCAAGGGGATTGGCAAAGGAGCTTCTAGCCTTGCAGTGTGCTCTAAGAAAAACACTTTAAGGATCTGAAGGTTTGTTTCACATGGGATTGTGGGTTAAATGCGAGACATATTATTCCTGGCTCTACCACTTAACCAGCTGTGTCGGAGGGAAAAGTCACTCTCCCTCTCTGGCTCTATTTCCCTATCAGCAAAAATAAGGGTTTGGCTGAATTTGGTAATAAGAAGGAGAGAAAATCCCAGAAAAGCAGCTTTGTGTAATAATTTGGAGGCTGAGGTGGGGCAGAACCTGGCCACCCCTCTTGCACGTCCCCACCCCACGGAGGGATAGGACAGTTTGCTGGAGCTGGAAAATCGGTTTTGCACTTGACAAGAACTCTCCAAGAACAGAATTCTGCCCATTTTCCAGATAACAAAACTGAGGCTCGGGCAGGTGAAGGCGCCCAAGGTCACACATTTTGCAAGAAGCGGAGGTGAGACCACATTCTCTGCAGGACGCCTGCTCATGCCCCGGCCTGGGAGGGTTCCAGCCCCGGCTCTCACCAGCCCCAGGAAGGAAGCACACAGGATCGTGGTGATGAACCAGCGCAGCCTGCTCCCGGCCCCGCAGCTCCGCCGGGAGGCTGCCACCAACTCCGGCTCGTTCTCCGCCGGGGCCTCGGCCTGGAGGAGCCGCCGCCCGGCAGCCGGGGGCTCGGCCCCACTGAGTTCCAGTTCCGACTCCAGCTCGGCGGCTCGGGAGAACCTGTCTTGCTGCTGCCCGGCTTCTCAGCGGGGCCTCGGGAACTCCTCGCGCCTCCGGACCCGGCCGTCCCAGTTGGCACCACCTCCCTGTGGGCGGCCCCTCGTCCAGGCAGGGAAGCCGAACTTCAGAACCCGCCGGTTGCCGCAGGCTGCAAGCTGCAGGCGCGCGCTCCTTCACGCCTGACGCCTGGGCGGATCACATGGCGGAAATGTGGTCTCTTGCCAAAGCCGCGCCGCAAACCGGAAGGTGACGTGGTTGCCTAGGAGACCGGACGTCACGCTCGGGCCTTAGAGTCACACAAGGCTGAGCCCAATAGGCTCGCGGGCTGGCGCCCGGGGGCGGGGCGAGCTGGAGCTGCAGCCTGGGACCCGACGAATCCCGAGGTAAGACGCGGCGGATCCGTTAAGAGGAAATAGCGACCAAGGATCGCACGATATGCCTTCGCGTCCGCTTCCCCGGCCCCTAGGGGGCAAAGGGAGCCCGAAGGTCTGTCCTTGAAACAACTTTCTAAATTCCTCGCGCTTTCGAGATCTGTCACCTATTGATCTGTGGTTTATATGTCACTTAAGATTTGTTGAAACTGACATGTAAGCGTTCACGTGTATTATCTCATTTATCCCCCGAAACAACAGTGTATATTCCGTGTTATCCTCGTTTTACAGATAGGAGGATTAAGTCTTAGAGAATTCAGAAGCAGCTTGCCCAAGGCAGGCAGCAAATCGGTGTTGTACATGAACAGTGTAACGGTAGCGCCGGGAAGAAATCAGAACCGAAGCTGCGGTTTCCAGCGCACTCTCGCCCCATCCCTGCAAATAATGCCATTGTTTAAGGAAATGGAGCAGGGCATCCATCAGTTTGCAGAAATCCTGAGTAAAGTTATGCCAGCAGAGAAGGAAAGGCCTTCTTTCTCAGACTCCAGCTTTTTGTTTCCTTTTGCTCTTTGACCAAACAGACCACAGCCTCAAAATGTGTGAATATTTTTCTTTATCGTCTATCTGAAATGTTCTTTTCCACCTGATTCTCCCGCATCCCAAACTACAAACGTGAGTCTCATTATCAGCCCCATCCACCCGGTGATTAATTCCCTTCACAATTTACCTGAAAGTACACAACTGCAATGCTTTGAGAGAACCTGTTTTCGATGTCAGAGTCGGGAAAGGTCTTTTTAAGAAAAGTTTGAGCCCTGGCCAGTTTGGCTCCGTGGTTAGAGCATCGGCCTGCGATCCAGAGAGATCTGGATTCAGTTCCCACTAAGGGCATGTACCTCGCTTGCATTTTGTCTCCGCCCTGGTTGGTCTTGCGGGTGGCAACCACTCGATGTGTCCCTTTCACGTAAATCTCTCTCTCTCTCTCTCTCTCTCTCTCTCTCTCTCTCTCTCTCTCTTCCTCTCTCTCCCTCCCACTCTATCTGAACAAAAAAAATGGAAAAATGTCCTCAAGTGAGGATAAAAAAAAAAAGTTTGATATGGTAGAAACGAAAGGTATATAATGTATATTAAGCAGAATAGAAGGTGATATGGGAGAGGTAGGTTAGGTGCGAATTGTAAAGGTCTCTGTATGCCATAGGATGGAGTTTAGACTTGAGCAACACACTTCTACTGGCACACTGAAATCTAAAAAAATAAAATGTATTTTGTAGAAATTCAAGCTTCACCATATTTCATCTTTTTGTCACCTCAAGTTGAACTCATAATTTTCCACAATAAATCTGCTTCCACTCTGATATGCCATGCTGGTACCACCATCCACCCAGTCTTACAGAATCTGGGGCCCTGCCTGGATGCTTCCTTCTTTCTCTCTCCTCAGTTGATCAACAGGGTCTGCCAACTTTATTTCTATAGATCAGCAGTTTTCAATCTTTTCAGTTCATGGCACATAAACCAATAAGTAAAATTCTGCAGCACATCAATATATTATATGTTTTGCTGATCTCACAAAAAATAGGTATAATTTTGATTCATTCACACCAGACTGTCATTTTTTTAAAAATCCTCACCCGAGACTATTTTTCCATTGATTTTTTTTTTTTTTAGATAGAGTGGGAGGGAGGGAGGGAGGGAGAGAGAGAGAGAGAGAAACATCCATGTGAGAGAGAAACACACATCGATTCGTTGCTTCCTGCAAGGCACCAAAGACCAGCAACCAAGGTACGTGCATGCCCTTGACCAGTAATCAAACCCGAGACTCTTCAGTCTTTGGGCCG